GTGTAATGTTACGTTCTCAAAAAGTACTATAAACTATATAAATAAGTTACCTGGTCAATTGATTTGCATTAGCCAATCAGACGAATTTCTGCTTATAAAAGCAAAGGAGATTAAACAATTACTAAAAGAAGAATATGAGTCTTTTATAGTAAGAATAAATCTATTTCAATTGTGTTTATAGATAAAATTCATCTTTACATGGTGTCGAATATGCTTAAAATTAATGAAATATAAATTATTAGGAATTAGCGAAAAAGATAGAGATATCTCTCCCTCCCTCAATTGAAACAGTATGTAATAATTTTTTAACAAACTATGACGATGGCTCTACAGAGATACCTTTACAAAAACTTTCTTATAAGAATTGGAGAGAGAGTGAAGAGGTTCTTAAAGATATTTTAGTTAGAATACTTGAGACTTTGTAAGTATAATATCAAATATTAACTAATTTATAAGATTAAATAACAATAATATTTTTTTTATATCATAGAGAAGAGATCTAGAAAAATCTAGCTTTTACTTCTAAATTTGCTAAAACACAGAGCGAAGGGACATATATAGCAAATATTATTGCATTATTTGAGCCACATTAAAAAATTTGCTAATTGGGAAATCTGCGTATATTAGCATGTAAGTAAACTTTTTATTTTTTTTTAAGAATGTTTTTTTATTAATTTTTTTTTATTGCAAAGCGGAACAGCAAAGTTTGGCTAGCAAGGACAGAAGGGGAGAGAGAAGAAAGCATCCAGATATTATGTTCATAGTGAAGTATATGGATAGAATCTATGAACTAGTGTTTAGTAAATATTCACGCATTGTTTGTAATGATACCAAAGAAGATAATGATAGGGTAAAATTGTGGCGAGAGCTTAATGATGGCTTATATTGGATAAATAGAGGATATAAATTAGAAGAAAAGAATAAGTTCGGTATCCTCAGATTTTAGGTTGTGGGACAAAAATTCGATCTATATGTCCTTATTCGTGATGATGACAATATAAGCCATCTTTTTTTCTTAAGATCAGTTATTATTCCGATACAATATACAAATAATAGGAAAGTTATATTTGAGTTAATAGAAGCTTTATTGTTGCTATGAGTATGTATTTATTTATATTATATGTTACATTATTCTGAAAATAATTATCTAAACCTTTTTTAATTACAGAGAATTTTGATTATTAATCTGTCTTTGCTATTTAATTCTGAAATCAATGATTGTAATAAAAATAGTTCAACAGTTTTTACTCCGTAAAATTAGTAGAAATATAATTTGTTTTTATTTTGTATTCTGTATTTATTTTTTATAACAATAAAGCTGGTCCTAGTGGCTCAATTTCACATACATGACTAGTTTACTTTTGCATGTGTATTTCGTGAATTTATTTATTGTATTAATACTGATATATAACTCACATATGATCGAGAATTTTTAAAATTTTTCTTGGCATTTTTTGACGAACATTGTTCTGTGAAATTTTATCACATTATTTCTGGTTTGGTTTTCTCGAAAAGATATCTTATAAAAATAATTGAAATTAAAAAGCATTAGAATAACAAAACACTTTGTGCAAACACAGCCAAGACGTGGTTAATAAAAATTTTTTTCTGAGCATTTGTGATAAAGTTATATAATATAATATTAAATATGTGAACACAGGAAAAAAAGACTAAAGACTTATCTGAAACTGTTTCATTACGAGAATTAAATTTAAAGCTTATTGTCATAATTGCAGAACTTAGAAGGAAGAATTCTGAAATCAAGACTAAGAACGTCGAACTTAAAGCTAAGAATATAAAAGTTAAAACTGAGAATAAAAAAATAAAACAAACTTTAGAAAAACATGGTGCCAGATTTATGAATCTAGAACAGAAAGATAAAGAAAAAACTAACCTTATTGCTAAACTTGAGCAGAATGATAAAGAAAAAATGGATTCTATAGTTAAATTGGAATATGATGTTTCACTAATCAAAGGACAAGACAAGAGTATAGTGTGCAATCAAATCGTTACTAATGTTTTGCAAGATGTAGAACCTGGAATCTCTAATTCATATTCTGTAAATTTTAATGATGTTTCTAAAGATATAAATTTACTATATGATGATAATGATATAACTAATAATGTTTCAAATTCTGATGAACATCAAGAAGAAACTTCATCTCGAGTCTTCAATTTATCTTCGACTACATTAGCCATATGCGTAAAGCCTAAATCATTAAAAGGTAAGGAAATAAATAATTTTCTGATTGAAAAACATAATAAACAGATTTGTAATGAAATAAGAGAAAAAAAGCTTCAACATAGGCCACCTACTAAAAGTTCTTCAAAAGAGGACACTTACATATCTAATATTAAATCTAGTATTTCTCTCAAGCAGAAAAAGGAGCAAGGTTTAATACAAAAGGTTTCAACATCCATTAAAGATCAAAATGATATAACTAGAATTTCACAAAACAATATTTGTCAAAATCATATGACTGAAGTCACTTCAGACCAAGATATCATTTGTTTATACCAAAATGCATATGATGCAGAAAAAGATACTATCAAAGCCAATCAAGAAGAAATATTATGCTAGTGTTTTTACACTAAAAAGTTTAAAGGTTTGGTTAAAGATTTTATGGCTAATGGTAGAGTTGGAGAGAAAAAAGCAAAAGGACAAGTATACGATTTTATTATTTAACATCTTTCTAACACAAAGCATGAAAACTTATGCAAGCAAACACAAAAAGTATTAAGAGTTTATAACTTATTCGAGAAATAGGAATGGATAAGATTCAGTATACCAAATCTTATACTGCAGATAGTATTTTAAGATTTACTAATTTACAGATTCAAATGATTATTGATCATTTCACTAAAAACCCTGTGACAGAATTCACCAATCATTCTTCTGATGACTTACTTGAAACTGAGATTAATGAGGAAGCTAAAAGAATTTCATTAGAAACAGAGGTAAGTATTACAACTACCCCTTCTATCCTGTTGTCTCATACATATAATTCAGAAGTAATGCTAAATGAGGATGTCAAATCTTTGCCAGAAACTAAGGTAAGCATATCTGCTAAATCAATTTCAAAGGAACCAGAAACTGTAAATGTATTCGATAAGTATAATGAAAACAATGGTGAATTCTCTGATGATAATGATGATGAATTCTCTGATAATAACAATGATGGAGATTATTGCGGTTTTTCTGACGAAGATAAACCAGGTTATTACTATGATTCAAGTAGAGGAAAAAAAACTTATAAGAATTCTGATTATTTAATCAGTACATATTAAAAACATAGACTAATGAAGTTAACTTAATAGTTTTTACTAATTAATAATCACAAATTGCACTGCAAAAATCATGTAAAAATAAAACATGGGAAGGCCACAGGACTCCCCTTCTTTATTTAATAAATTTTTTTTTTGCCAGAATGGGAATATACAAATAAAATAATACAAATACAAATAAAAAATCAAAAGCTATAGTAACCATGAGGTTTTATTACTTTTGAAAATATTATAGGATTGATACCCAGATAATTATATAGAATTTGATAATCAAGAATTATGCCCACACCAGATAGCTTTTTTTGATTGCTTCCTGAATTAGAGTCATTAGTCTTGGAGGCATTACTATCATTGATCTTGGGGGTATTGTTGGTCTTGGAGGTGGTACTATCGCTCATTTTTTGTACCTGAATATGAGAAAAATCATGGTAAGTAAAAATTCATCTTTATAGATTCTGTTAAATGAAATAGCAAAGTTACTTTAAAAATAAA